ATTAGCAGTGCTTTTGTCGCACTTGATTTAGAATTCGCAGCACAAATGCAACCCTATATCGTATAGTTTATAAGGCTCAATTTTTTTGCAACTTTTGACGATACAGGCGTTCCCAATTTACTTTCGATTGCTCGCATATCATCGCGTTTCACCGTCACGGCGCGTTCTCAATATCTTCGCGTAAAAAGCTTCGCTTTAGGCGTTATGAACGTTTTACGAACGATAGATACAATAAAATTTGACGAAAGGGCGAATAACTTTTACACTTGAAATAAACTGCCGTTGTTTTGTTTTTCTGCCTTTTTTTTAATTTAAGCAAAAGCAAATTAAAAAAAAAAAAAAAAAGATGACACTGAAGTCACAGTTCATGCCGCTTCGGCGTTTGATAAGCTAGTATGCATATCTCTATCGAAACATATCGTTCGATTTCGTCCCTACTCATCAAATGTGTTGGTTTACAAGTCTATCTATATTGAAACCATTATTTATATATACCGATAGCACCTTCATCATCATTATTACTTTTTTTTTGCATTTTATGCTAAGCATTCCGTTTTTGGAAGCGAGTGCAGTGTAAGCCTTTAAAAATTGTACCAAAATACCTAATTTCGAACACGAATGAATAACGGAAACTCTAGTTTTTTGTTTTCTTTTTCTTTTACTTCACTCTGTAAGACCTAAGTGAATTTGTTGTTGCTTTAATTGTAAAGTAAACGTGCAATTTGAATTTTCTTACGAAGCTTTCTTAAAATTGCATCCAAATGGGAGGCTCGTATAAAAAGAAACAACGAGCCGAAAAAGCCAAAGTTAAATTGAAAGGCGCTAAATTGCCTAAGGGTTTAAATGTTACAAAGACTGAGTTTAAAATACGTAAAATAACTATCAAGGAACAATTAAAAGATTTAAAATATGTTGACGGTCAAAGGCAAATCAATATAAAGGAAACCTTAAATCGCCTCAAACATCACGGATCAAATTTTCGCTTAGAATCGCTGCGTAAATTAAGAGAAGCAATTGTCAACAATAGCTTAGACATCTTGGGTTGTCTAAACGAAATAATCCAGAGTGTGGTTTCCATGTGCTTGGATGCGGAACGCGATATTAGAAGAGAATCTTTTAAAACATTGAGCATTCTGTTAGAATCACTGAAAGAAGTCTCAATTGGGCCATTTTTTCATATAATTTCTTCGTACCTGCGCTGTGCTATGACCCATATACAACCTTATATACAAGAGGATTCATTGTTAATGTTGGATGTTTTGCTGGATCATGTGCCATCATTGGTTGCTAAACATAGCCATAAGATTTTTCAAAATTTTCTGGAGATGATATCACGGGTAAGAGCGGATGGTGGTAAAGCCGGTCGAATGCTAACAGTCAATATAGGAAAAAGGCAAACGAATGTTAAGTGGCGTTCCAAAGTGTTGTTGCGTTTGCAACAAATGCTAAGCAATTTAGTAAGCCAAAGGAAAGAAGAAAAAGATAGTCGCGGTCCTTTTACAATAAGCGGAGGAAAGCAAAAGAATCCATTAATATTTAATGCAAACGTACCACAGTACTACGGAGTGAAACGGTCATCTCAGAATGATCTTCCATGCGATCTATCAAACATATTTCAAAGAACGATAGGTGAAAACGCCATGCCTGGCAATCTATTGATACACGAGGAATGTAATCAACTGAAATCATATGTGGATCATTTAATGCCTTTGTTGTTGGAATCATGGTTAGAAGTGCGACCGCAACACACTTCAGGAGAAGGAACAGAACGTTCAATAAATTCGGATGCCGCTCAAGCTTTAAAAATCGTTTCAGAAATTATAGCAGATCTGTGGTTCCTAATTGATATTCATGAAGAACAAACTAATAATCACGCATTGAGTTTATGGTTTCAGGATCAGTACAAAGAAATATTTGCTTTAAATTTTGTGCAAACTGGCTTTCCCTACGAATTAATGGACGGGGACAAAGAGGGTAAATGTATTATTTCAATATGAAAATGAGAATTCTTACAGATCTAATCAAACCTTTCTAAAATTTTCAGTGAACGGCCCAGAAAATTCAGTAAACAAAAAGAGATCGCGAAAATCGAATCTTTCCCCGTTAACATCGTACTGTTACAATCAAAATATTTGCGTCAGTTATATAATGTGTCGTTTTTTTGCTGGGAATCTGCAAATACAAGCAGAAAAGTTTTCATGCATTTTAAAATATTTAAAAGGTGTCATCGACTCAATGGATCCGAAACGGGAGCATGATTATTTATCTATCCTTTTAAAAGCTTTAAGGAGTTTACTCTTCATGAATGGCTTGCAAATGCTTCAGACTCATCGTAAGGGCACTCTTCTTCTGCTGAAAAGCTCCGTTCAATCTTTTCTGAGTCATAAGTTTGGCGATTCAATTTCCTCATCTACACTTCTACTATTGTTGTGCGAAATTATCCAAGATTCTTGCCTTTATAAGGCTTATAACTGCCAGGAATTGAAAGAATTTCTGGAATTTTTACCTCATTTACTTTTAAAATCATCGATTAGCGAATCGATATTATTATCTATGATCCAATTGGGTAAGCAACAGAACGAAGTCTTCTTAAGCACCTTACGACAACTTTTCAGCGATGTGGTGAGAAATTTGGAAAGAATAAAAGTGAACGGGGCCTTAGATGTGGTTGAGGGTAAAAAGCATATCATTAACTTGTTCTATTGGCAGAATCCTCAAAGTGTAAGGGAAGAGGATTTAAGAGAAATAACGAGTAATCTGAATGAGTGTATAACCGATGAAAGACTAAATGATTATTGCCACTATGTACTGACATTGAACTTTAATAGAAGTATATAAACAAAAGTAAAATAGTTTTTTTTTATTTTTTCATTTTCTTCGGCTTGAAACGATCCAGAACACTAGTAGGTGTTTCCAAAGGTAAAAAGTCTTCACCGACCTCCTCTTGCTTATGCGTTGCAATTATGGATTTTTTGGTTTGCCGGATGTTTGCAATGAATTCCTGTAAAAATGTTTGATTTAGAAATTATTCGAAAGTCGGGTCTTTTGCATGTGCGCGTTTTACCTTTCTCTTTATGTCCTTAACAATTTGTTTATTACGGGCCGCTTTAACACTTCCGCCACGACCCCTCATTTTACGCCGTGGGTTTATTGTCACCTGGGGTGGTTTAAGAAAGAATAGAGCTTTTTTCGCGTCCACTTTCTCTTGAAGTGAGGGTACGTCAACAGTGGTAATATCATTAGGATCCAAAGTGATCAGCTCTGCTGGTATTTTTTCGAGTAGGGCATGTACTTCACGTTCACGTCTTTGCTTCTTTGTTTCATAAGGATTATCTTCTAACGCGTCATAGTTAGGTTCACCTGAACCTGGTACTAATAGCGACTGAAAACCATTGGCTGTTGCAATACCCAAAATGTCTTCATAAGGACAAAAACGCCCGCTCCGAATCGATCGATATAAGAGGCGCATCTATCTGAAGTCCTCCTAGGTGTTGTATACATTCGCACAAACTTACGTTTGCACCACAAGTGGTATAGGGTATAAAAATAGAAAAACTCTAGAGATATAAGTCCACATACAATTCTATTAATTTACCCCTCAATGTGTTATCCGAGCGAAATGAAAAAATATTTTACACATCATCGGACAACGTTTAGTTTGGAATGTTCGAAAGGAAAACACTTTTTAATTATGGTATCTAACCATTATTTTTGATTATTTATATGTGGTCTGAAGCTCATTTCTATTTCCACTTGCGTCTTGAAAACTCAAAGCTACATGTTCGCTGTCACGATTAAAAATGAAAAATTCGATCTCCCATTCTCGCTTTTCAAACTGCTCCATATCCGCATGAGTAGTCGAGTAGGAAAGAGCCGTGAGCATTAACTGACTAACTGCCTTAGTGTTTATTTTTGTCTATCCACGAATCTTAATCGTCAGTAAATGTCTTTTTCAAATGAAAAAAGATCAAAATACGCGCAAGCGTATAATAATAGCAGCAAGATTAACCGGACAAGGTGACATGACTAAATAGACTTAAAATTTACCATCGATGAATCAAACTTCTTTGTCATCCCAGGCTTTCGTGGGATTTTTTTTTTTTGATTTCATGAGTCGTTCAATACTGACCGTCGTCGCCTGCATGTTCTGTTATTCTGATCAACTTTGGTACTCACTAGTAAGAATCAGATAGAGCGTAAAATGGGTCTGGACATGAAAATATTCGCAATCAAGTTTTGGATATAACTTCTGACATACAGTTTCGTTTACCAAGTTATTTTCGTGCAGGCGACATTCATATAGACTTGCATGCCATCGTTGATGTTCAGATAATAAGAAAACAAGGTTTATTCAAATACGGAGTTCACGATTACGTCAAACTTGCCCCGAAAAAAAATAATGCAAATTTCAATGGAAACTTTTTTCAATTATAAGCGAAATTTTCAACTTTCAGCTAATTCTTGATATACGATTTGTTAAGATACAAGATCAAAGACCCTAATCAAGTACATGTATTTTTCAAGCGGAGGAAAATTAACAATTGCAAAAATCAAGAAAAAGGATAAAATGTCTAAAAACTTGATATATAAATATTCGCCTTAAGATAATAAATATAAGTTTAGTTTCCTTATTTTCAAAAGCATTTATATAAAGAAGAAGTAATTAAAAATTATTTATGCAGACATATTAAAAAAAATTGGTTTTTATACTTTACACTGCAAATTAAATATAGAAAAAGAGATTTTTTTTTTTTTTTCTTGGAAAAAGTGCAAGAAGTTTTATCAGTGAGAAAATTTTTACAAATTTTTTCTTCAAAGAAATTCTTAAGAATAAAAATATTGTGTTAATTTGTAATAGGAGCAGTTTTATTGTAATGACGAGTGACCATAGTTTGTTGGCTTCTGTGACAAATATAATACAATAATAGTGGACAGAGCGCTAACAAGAAATATCACATCAAACCAACGGTGATAGAAATTAAAGTGTAAATTACCTAACACTTGTGTGATGATAACACGATACTCGGCAGGCATATTCATACGCATCAATAACACCGAAGAGCAGAAATACATGCCCATAATTTGTGCAAGAATTAAAACTATAATGTTTGACGATTTACTAGAAGAAATGCGATAAAAGAACTGAAAAAATGCGACCATAGAAAAAAAAGATTAATATTTCTGAAAAGATTAATATTATGAGATTTGTCTACCTTGGTTAAGGTTAGCAACAATCCCCTTATAGAAGTTACGACAATACAGCCTACCAAGAGAAACGATATATGTTGATTCCAGAATGCTAAATCTATATCGAAACCGCACCAATGCACGGCAATTTCAAAACCTCGAGTAACGGGATCTTTCTTGCCCACCCGATCGAATATAATATTTGCTGTACACTATCGGATAGGATTGCGCACATATATATATATATGTACGTATTATATTACTTTTTTTAACTACACAAATATGATATACTTACTATCAGTATTTTCCACAAGCAGTAAACACTGAAAAAGTGTCCTATAACGTTAAAATATCGACCCTGTAAAGTTTTTGACCATTTCTGACGTTCTTGCATATTTTTCAGATAATTAACTTCCAAAAATATATGGCGTAACAACTCCTCCAAACCGTCAATTTCCATCCTTAGTTGACTAATATCTGCAATTTATAAAGATACAGGGCTTTTGTCTTGCTTCCTTATAAGCTAAACTTACTTACTTTCACCTCCTACATCTACCCGATTTACCGCGGAACTCAATATGTTCCATAATCCTGTCTTGGTTTGATGGGTTTTGTTTCGTCTATGTTTTTCCAAAGCCATACGTTTCTTTTTATTGGTAAGCATATCTACCGTTAGTAGCAAACGTCTTTCCAAAGTTATTATATCAATTTGAGAGACTGGCCTGTAAATTTCTACATTAGTATTAACGAACGTCTAAACTTATGCCCTTTATAGGCTTACCTTATAAAATATGTCATACTTTGATAAGGGCAATTGACAGCTCCAAAACCTGATAATACGGCCATTACGGTAACACCAATAACTCCAATACGTGAGACGCCCTGCTCTATAGTGAATATACCATGTGAAACGCTAAGCAAAGGAAATGGATCGCCTATTCGCCATAGACCATAAAGAAAAGCAAGCCAACAACTCATAGTTATGATCCGTACCCATTTTTCGGATACTGTATGAAAAGAAAAGGATATGAAAAAAGTACAATTTTCTGAAACTAAGGACCACTTACCGAAGGTTATACTATGAACAATTGAATAAAATATATACAATGGAATAACTGCAATCACCATTAACAGGAGAAGTGTTAACCCTAAACGCCAATGAAAGTAACGTGAACTGCTTTCCAAAACACCGAGAATTTCGAAAATGATTAGTTCAAACATGGTTATGGATAAAGCAAATGTCACAGAGAATATAAGTTGCACAGATATGTGGCGAATTTCATAATTTTTAAATAATTGCTTAACAAAAAACCACCATCCACCAGCAAAGAAGAGAAGCTAAACAATACACAATAATTAGACCGGCTTTCATTTATACTGAAAAACTCACCTGGGACACGAATACAATGATGCAGTCTTCAAAAAATTCCATATTTTTAATAGACATTTTCGTTTTTTACGTTTCTGTACACACGCGATAATTAATAAATTAAAAGTGGCTTGATAATTTCATTTTTTAATATTAGCAGTGCTTTTGTCGCACTTGATTTAGAATTCGCAGCACAAAT